TAGGTCCTCATTTTTCCCCTCCCTCCCCGCTCCCCCCTTGTACACAATTCTTAGTGCACTTACCAAAATCCTAAAATGGCACGTGTATTCAATTCTTTACTAAATTTGGAGGTAATTAAAAAAAGAGGTTATCAAGTGCCATAATATCTTCAAATGCTGATAAGCTGTTACATCTTATGTTCCACTGATTCACTATTTAATGTCACACACACTGCACACTAAACGTTCGACACTTCACAGCACGTAACAAAGGGATCAGGAAAACTGGACCATCACAAGTAAAGGTGTTAGAGAATGCACAGTTCTCACAAGAAAGTCATGATGACAGGATGGTTTTCAGACATAATTCTATTACAAACAAACAATATGGAAACAAAATTTCAAATGTTTAAGTCATACAAATGACAGTGACTCCAAATCGCCATTCAGTCTGTTTTGTATTAGGGACACAAAACCTTCCCCATCTCATGGAATGTTGTGTTGACACCCGAGACAGTCAAATCTCCTCACAATTCAACATCCCACTATTTTATGGTTGTACCAAAAAATAAACAACCAGTAAATGATTTCATGTCTTTTTAAAAAAAAGCATTTACACTTTAAAAAAAGGGGGGATCAAGTGGGATTTCCTCTTTTAAAATGTTTCTAGATGTTGGACAGTGTAAGATATGACAAAATAATAATAACTTGTAAATTATCAAGGGTTCATGAGGGAGGGGGATCAGGGAGGGAGAGGAAAATGAGGAGCTGATAAAAAGGGCTCAAGTAGAAAACAAGTGTTTTGAGAATGATGGCAACAAATGTGCAGATGTGCTTCACACAATGGATGTATGTATGGATTATAATAAGAGTTGTACAAGCCCCCAATAAAATGATTTAAAAAATGTTTCTAAAGTCACAAAAAATTTTTGCATTTACAAAATAGTTGATAAAATATTCCTCTCAAGAGCTAGGAAGCAAAGGGCATTTATAGAGGTCTAAATAAAGGCACGTACATATGTAAATATATTTATATATGAGGATGGGGAAATAGATCTATATATTTATGGGTTTAGTATTAAGGTAGCAGAAGGATATTGGGCTTCACTCAAGTACTCCCTCAATGCAAGAATACTTTGTTCTATTAA